AGCTCCTTAACCCCAAACACAACCTTCACTCTTCTCTAAAAGCAATCTTTGTCTGTGTGTTGTTATTTACAAGGGACTCTGACATGTCTGAATGCAAATTGCAAAGCACTTACTCTTCATGTGTTCGAGGGTCACTGTAATAGGAAATACAGCTGTAGTGATGAGTGATGTGATCCATGAGCAGCAATAAAAGAATAATAATGACAATAATCATCATCTTGTAAATAAAAGTAGGAATGTATTTAATTGTTGGATCAACAGTCCGTCCTTTTCAGTAGATCTGTGGTTTGTAAAACTGGAAGCAAAATGTTGGGTTGGAGTTGAGGCCAAGATTGAATAAAGCTGAATGTGATGTATTCCTGTTTTTTATGCTGCTTTAATGTCTTTTTATCGTTTCCTCTTCAACCCAGAAAAAGGCCACGATGATTTCTCGTGGTTAATTTAGCCATTCGTGCTGGTAATGTGAGACTTGTCGGACTATCATTAGTGAGATCCTGTTATGGTGATCATTTTCACGTCCTGTTCTGCGCGTTATTTAATCAAACAGTGACAGCAGTTTTCATCCACTGAACAACACATCCAGGTTACTTTATGGAGAGCATGGTTTTCACATCCAAATGCTTCCCATCAGCTGTCAGTAGGAAGTTGTGTCGAGCTATTCTGACTCCCTTTGTATCAAACTCTTTGTTTTTTTGCCGTATGCTCACAGCATGTGTTTATTGATCTATCTGTGGGTCTCGTACAGACCTCCTTCCCACACAGTCTGAGTAGGCCAGGGTATATTTGCCACTAAGCCACATGGTGGCGCAGTATCTTCACCATGCTGGTACTGAAGCAGTTGTTACCGACTTATTTTTTATTTAGAACAGTTTTATAACATTATGGTAGTACAATGAAACGGAGAAACTGGTTTGTTTCTCCCTCATTGGTTGATCTAGTGATAGTTGGATGTGTGTTGCTTTTGCTTGGAGCGCCTCAGGTGACAGTTAAAGGCCAAAATGTTGCCGTGTGAACCAGTTATTGTGTCGGTGCTGCTCGAGCATCTTGGTTGCCTTTCGGGGAGAAAGGTGGCGCCGATCCAAATTCTTTCCGTTAGTGCAATATCACAGCAGATCCTTCGTCAGTCATGTTGCAGAAACGGTGCCCATGTCTTATGTGTGTGTGCCGAATATGAAAAATATCTTTAGTTAGCCTGAGCATAAATAATATCTGTTGTCGACCAGCAGTTCCATTGTGTTTCTCTTTTAACATAAGCATATAAAATAAATGCTGCTTTTCACCTCAGTGTGAGTCTACTTCATCTTGTTGTGTGTCTCTACACACATACAGACAAACATCCCAACCTGAATCTGGTGGCAAAAAAGCAGTCAACCTACTGGAAACCCTGATTTAGTCACTTTGTGCAAGCGTTTATGCGATTTATTTAAGCGCGACGTAGATCTATCAAGTGAGGACTGTTTATACTCTTTTTTTTCTTATGGTCCAAAGAGCAGAAAAGCATAACATTTTGTCAGGTACTTCACTGGAAGTCTGAATTATCATAAACTGTTTGTAATTCTGTGGCTGTTCCAGTCAGTCTGTACCCTTTAGGCATGCAATAATAAGCCATTGTTGGCCATAATCAAGCTCCTGCTCTTTTCACTCTGTTGCTGTTTACTCTAGCTTTATTGCCATCATCTAACAACTTGCATCTCTTATGTCTACTTTTCAGGACTTTGACAGCCAAACAGTTTTAAAATTACATCTGAGTTTTAATGGATGTCCAGATAGTTTCTGAAAGGTCATGAAACTGGAATTATCCACATATGAGTACGATGCAAAATCTTATCCAGTGAGTGAATAAAAGGTTTTCAAAGTTTCCATATGGCTGCTAGTACATAACAATTATCCTACTTTCAGCTGCCCTCTCATCTCAAGGGGTCACCACAGCAGGGAGCACAGCATGTTTGACTTGGCAGAGTTTTACACTGGATGCTCTTCCTGACACAATCCCAAATGGGATTTGTGTTGACAGCCTTTAGCTTGTCAAGTGATCGTGTTAAGCGCTACACTAACTGTATAGTTACTTAACACTAAGCGCTACACTTAGACTTGTCGTCGAGCTGAG